CATCCATTGGCGGGGCACTTTGGGATACACAAGACCCTAGAATTGGCACGACGCACGTTTTGGTGGCCAAGCAAGGCCAAAGATTGTGAAGCATACGTCAGAACTTGCGCAATCTGTAATCGGAATAAACCCACCAGAGACAGGGCTTGGGACCCTGCTACGACCCTTGCCAATACCTGACCGACCCTGGACCATGATCTCCATGGACTTTATCGTGGAACTTCCACCTTCGCAGGATCACAGCATGATTTTTGTGGTGGTGGACTGTCTCTCTAAGATGGCCCACTTTCTTCCACTAGAGAAGACACCATCCGCTTCCGAGACAGCACGGGTCTTCATTAAGGAAATAATGAGACTCCACGGAGTGCCAAAAAATATTGTTTCGGATAGGGGAGTCCAATTCACGTCCAGGTTATTGAAGGCTTTATGTGAGGGATTGGAGATCAAATTGTCTTTTTCTTCAGCGTATCACCCACAGACTAATGGGCAAACAAAAGCAGACCAATCAGACACTCAAGCAATATCTTAGATGTTATACGTCTTTACTGCAAGATGACTGGCTGACACTTCTGCCAATGGCGGGAATCTGCATACAATAATGCAAACTATTCTGCCACCAATCAATACCCGTTTTTCTTCAACTACGGGTTCCACCCTACTTTCCTGCCAGATTTGGTTCCAGAGAACTCAGTCCCAGCAGCCTAAGAGACCCTAAATTTTTTCACAACCAATAATAAGTTATTACAGGAAACAATGGCTAGAGCCCAGGTGGAGAGCAAGAAGTTTTTTGACAGAAGGAGAAAAGGGGAATCGGGTTTGCCTGGCAACAACCAACCTGAAACTGGCATGCCCATCTAGGAAATTGGCACCCAAATTTGTGGGGCCTTTTCAAGTAGAACGTAAGGTCAGTGAAGTGGCATATAAACTAGCACTTCCTGGGTCCCTTAAGATACACCCCGTCTTCCATGTGTCGCTATTGAGACCCGCAGTACCTGATCCTTTCTCAGATCGCAGATCCAGTCCTCCAGAAGCCATAGACATTGATGGGGAAGAGGAATTTGACGTATAGGCAATTGTGGACTGCAGGAAGAGGGGTGGTCAAACACAATACCTCATTAAGTGGAAGGGCTATGGGCCAGAGGAGAATTCGTGGGAACCTGCACAAAATGTCCATGCTCCCAGATTGATGCGGGAATTCCTTCGCAACCAGCCTCAAAGGAGGAATCGAGTGGGCATCCAGAGGCTACCCGTACGGGGGGGCAATGTCAGGGACCCCAGATCTGGCCGCGGTCGCGCACGGGTTTGCACATGCGCGGTGTGTGCCCGGCCGCACTAGCGTGCGAGCATTGGGACTTGGGCACCCGCAACGTCAGCGGCGCTCGCGCATGCACACTCGCAATCGCGGACGCGCGCCTGTCACCAATCAGGGTGCAGGGCCCCCTCTTTAAAACAGGTCAGGTCTGGCTCTAATTTCCGTATGGTCTTACCTGTATCCTGTGTTCCTGAAGATTCGATTGCTTTGTTGCCGACTCTGCCTGACCTTTGATGTGCTGATTGTCTCCTGCTCTGAACCTTGGCTTGCCTGACCATTCTCCTGTCTTATCCCACACGTTTTGATCTTCTGTTACCGAACCCGGCTTGTGACCCGTTTATCCTTCTGTCTACTGTTTTTTACCGTGCTGCCTCCACCACTACCGACCCGGCCTGCCCGACTCTGCTCTTTCTACCTCCTCACATCAGGCTCTCACCTGCTATAAACCTCCGGCAAGTGCTTCTACCACAGCTGGGTGCACCCAGGGGCTGTGACCTGGTTCCGGCCTGCTCCAAGTCCATCCCCAACATCAGGGGCCCTGGTGAACAAGCAGGTCGGGGCTTAGACTCCGCGCCATGGGGAATTCTGGTCTATTGAACGCTAGAGGCTACTGCTGGCAGGTCCCTAACAGTCGGTAATGAGCAGTCGACGATTGGAATCAGGCAGAAGCGTAGTTGAGAACAAGCCAGGGGTCAATAACGCGTGGTAGCAAAATATGGATAACAGCAGAGAAGGCAAGGAGCAAGATACTGGCTGGAGAGCACAATAATCTGGCAAACAGGAAGTGCAGAGACATGGCTTATATCAGGAAGTTCATGGGAGGAGCAAGGGGTTCAAGGTTTATGACAAACAAGGTCAAGGCAGGATCATTCAAATAATTGTCAAGGGAGCTGTCCAGCAATCCAGGTGGCGCAGCAAGAAAAAGCATTGCCACTCTCTACAGAAGGCCTAGGTTCAGACCCAGGCTCCCCTCCTCACAGGACATCCACTGGATTACTTAGGACTAGGCTTGTGGGGAAACCTCTAGTGGAATTCTCTTGTTAATCTAGGAGCATGAATGAGGAGTAATTGGTGCTGCGCTAATTCTAAATATATAAAAATGTCAAAAAGAAATATTCCTCACAATAAAGCTTACATAAACATATAAAAACCAATCACAAATAATAAAGTACTGAATAGAATACACATGAAACATCCAAAATGGTGGATAACAGTGAAAAACACCCAAAATATACAAAAGGTGTAACCTAGGTACACCACTAATAATAAATATGTTTATGTAAGATTTATTGTGAGGAATATTTATTGTTGAAATTTTTATATATTTAGAATTAGCGCAGCACCAATTACTCCTCATTTAGCATTTTCCCATTTGGTATATAGTAAGGTGTTAGCAGCTGTACATATAGATTAGGAACCTAGAGCGCGGGAGGACTACATAGATATGATCTAGGAGCATGAACATTTTCCTCAGGCTCCCAATAATTCTCCTCTTGCCCATATCTGTCACATACCTGGTTGGGGAGCCTGATGTGGAGAGGAGGCGTCCTCTTACTACTCCCGCTCGGAGCCCCTGATAGTGGAAACAGAGGGCGCAGAGCCAGGAGTGGCACGAGTGCCAGATAGGTCTGGAGCTCCGGATGCAGGCCAGGTGCGGATGCAGGAACGTAGGTGCAGCAGCAGGCAGGTATGGCGGCAATCAGGATGCAGACTGGGACTGGACACAGGAGCGTGGATGGGGCAGCAGGCAGGTATGGCAGTGACCAGAATGCAGGCCAGCTGCAGGACCATGGGTGCAGCAGCAGGTAAGTATGGCAGCTGTCAAGATACAAGCCAGGTGCAGATACAGGTAAGTAGGTGCAGAAGAGTCAGACAAGCTGGGGCAGGATCAAACGAGTAAATCAAGTACAAGGAAGCAGGCAAGTGGATAGTCAGGGATAGCTGGGGTCAGTGCAGGCAGAGTTCTTTCTTAGTCAGGTCAGATCGGGATACAGGCAACAGAATCAGGTAATGTAGTGCAGGATGTTATAGACCATAAGGCATTGATTACACAGTATTGCAGGTTTAAATAGCCCGCCTTGCGGTGATGTGTGCGCTACTGCGCATGTGCGCACTTGCGCGCTCCTGCGCATGCGCACTCACACCGCCATGGCCCGAGGGGATCCGACGCACGGCTGCACAGAGGCAGGATCCCTGACAGTGCCCCCTCCCTAAGGGCAGCCTCCGGATGCCCAACTGGGACATCTTCTCTGGATTCCTGCGCTGAATGCACACCGGGCAGGACTCCGGGCAGGGGCACACCAGGCAGAGGCACACCGGGCAGAGGCACAAAGGGCAGAGGCACATCGGGCAGAGGCACATCGGGCAGAGGCACATCGGGCTGGACTCCGGGCAGAGGCACATCGGGCTGGACTCCGGGCAGAGGCACATCGGGCTGGACTCCGGGCAGAGACACATCGGGCTGGACTCCGGGCAGAGGCACATCGGGCTGGACTCCGGGCAGAGGCACTCCGGGCAGAGGCACATCGGGCTGGACTCCGGGCAGAGGCACATCGGGCTGGACTCCGGGCAGAGGCACATCGGGCTGGACTCCGGGCAGAGGCACATCGGGCTGGACTCCGGGCAGAGGCACATCGGATTACCAGGCGAAGCAGCAGGCACCGGGCCACCGGGCGGAGCAGCAGGCACCGGGCCACCGGGCGGAGCAGCAGGCAGCGGGCCACCAGGCGGAGCAGCAGGCACCGGGCCCCCAGGCGGGGCGACAGGCATCGGCCCCCAGGCGGGGCGACAGGCACCGGGCCCCCAGGCGGGGCGACAGCACCGGGCCCCCCCGGCGGGGCGACAGGCATCGGGCCCCCAAGCGGAGCGCCGGGCGCCGGGCCCCCAGGAGGGGCGACAGGCATCGGGCCCCCAGGCGGGGCGACACAGGGGCGACATCGGGGCCCCCCGGCGGAGCGACAGGTCTCAGGCCCCCAGGCGGAGCGACAGGTCTCAGGCCCCCAGGCGGAGCGACAGGTCTCAGGCTCCCAGGCGGAGCGGCGGGCGCCGGCCCCAGGCGGAGCGACAGGTCTCGGGCCCCCAGGCGGAGCGGCGGGCACCGAGTCACCAGGCACGACAGTGGGCTCCGAGTCAACTGGCAAGACTGCGGGCACCGAGTCAACTGGCAAGACTGCGGGCACCGAGCCAACTGGCGGAACAGCGGGCTTCGAGTTGTCTGGCAAGACTGCGGGCACCGAGTCGTCTGGCAAGACTGCGGGCACCGATTCGTCTGGCAAGACTGCGGGCACCGAGTCGTCTGGCAAGACTGCGGGCACCGAGTCGTCTGGCGGAACAGCGGGCATCGAGTCAACTGGCGGAACAGCGGGCTTCGAGTCGTCTGGCAAGACTGCGGGCACCGAGTCGTCTGGCAAGACTGCGGGCACCGAGTCGTCTGGCAAGACTGCGGGCACCGAGTCGTCTGGCAAGACTGCGGGCACCGAGTCGTCTGGCAAGACTGCGGGCACCGAGTCAACTGGCGGAACAGCGGGCATCGAGTCAACTGGCTGAACAGCGGGCACCGAGTCGTCTGGCAAGACTGCGGGCACCGAGTCGTCTGGCAAGACTGCGGGCACCGAGTCAACTGGCGGAACAGCGGGCACCGAGTCGTCTGGCAAGACTGCGGGCACCGAGTCGTCTGGCAAGACTGCGGGGCACCGAGTCATCTGGCAAGACTGCGGGCACCGAGTCACCTGGCGGAACAGCGGGCATCGAGTCAACTGGCGGAACAGCGGGCACCGAGTCGTCTGGCAAGACTGCGGGCACCGAATCACCAGGCACGACAGTGAACTCTGACTCAATTGGCACGACAGCGGGCACCGGGTCACCAGGTATGACAGCGGACACTGGGTCACCAGGCATCAGGACATTTGGCTTGCCAGCGGGCACCGCGTCATCTGGCAAGGCAGTGGGCACCGGGTCACCAGGCATTGGATCGTCTGGTTCGACAGCGGGCATCGGGTCCCCAGGTATGACAGCGGGCACTGGGTCACCAGGCATCAGGTCATTTAGCTCGCCAGCGGGCACCGCGTCATCTGGCAAGGCAGTGGGCACCGAGTCACCAGGCACGACAGCGGGCTCTGAGTCAACTGGCATGACAGCGGGCACCGGGTCATCAGGTACCGGATTGTCTGGCTCGACAGCTGGCATCGGGTCACCAGGCCTAATAGGATCGTCAGGCTGGATCAGTTCATCATGCTGGGTAGAGGCATCAGGCTGAATGCAGGCATCCGGCTGAGTAAAGGCATCAGGCTGAGTAGAGGCATCAGGCTGAGTAGAGGCTTCAGGCTGAGTAGAGGCTTCAGGCTGAGTAGAGGCATCAGGCTGCTGAATAGAGGCATCAGGCTGAATAGAGGCATCAGGCTGAATAGAGGCATCAGGCTGAATAGAGGCATCAGGCTGAGTAGAGGGTTCAGGCTGAGTAGAGGGTTCAGGCTGAGTAGAGGATTCAGGCTGAACCACGGAAGGCAGGTTCACCGGTTTGGATACTGGCAGGATGGTACTGGTTGGAAAGAATTTTTGCTTTTTTCTGGTTTTAACTACTGGAGCACTGCAAGTAAACGCAGGTCTGCAAATGAATGGAGCAGCTGGAGACAGAGAAGAGCTGGAGGATGGAACAGGGAAGGGAGCAGTTGCTACAGAGGGCTTTTTTACAGGGTTAAAGGCAGGATAGGTGCAGCGAGTGGGAACAGGGTACTGACATGCGGTAGATAGCAGGGCAGGAGGAGCTGTTGGGAATGCAGGAATAGAGCTTTGAGGAAATAGATTAGAAGCAGGACTGGGTTTTTGTAAGCTGACTGAGGCTGGGTGCAACAAATCTGTCCATGTCTGCAGTATGGGTTGAACAAAGCTGAGCTTACACAAAGCCTGTCTGACTAAAGACTGCACTGCGTTTATACAATCTCTTAGTATCTGTGGTGAACATGCAGCATAATGCTCCAAGAAGCAATCCACATCATCCTCTAATAACCACACCAGGGACTCTACCTGGTCGGCACTAAATGGCGGCAAAAATTCATCCCTGCATTCGGGGGAACCAGATGAAACCAACTCCGCACAAATCTGAATCAATGGCTGCACCTCAGAGAACTCTGTGCCCTGATCTACTAGAACATGAGCGAGCCGTATACATTCTAGCAGTTCATCCTGGGGATACTCCTTCAGAGTCTGATAAGCATACTCTCTGTCATCAAACACTAGCAGATATAAATACACAACCTCATCAAGATCCATCCTTCCCATCAACAAACCAAGATGGCTTCCCTGTGCAGCCACTTCTGGTCAGGATTGGCCTTGGTGTAATGTCAGGGCTCCCGGGTATGACCAGAGGTGTGTGACTGACGCAGGGAAACGCAGACTTCAGATATGTTATAACAATGTAATTTATTAACACTAACAATACAAACATAAACGCAGTGCAATACTAGAACATAACACAGTGCAAACAAACCAAACCAACCACCCACAGATAACAGTACATACAAGCGTCGTCAGGCACGCCAGGTCAATATCAATCGGGCAGGTAGGTACAGGGGGAGCAAGCGGAGAATGGTCGGGGTCACAAGCCAGGTTCAGCAGGTAGCGGGCAGAGTGGTACAGAGGGTCAGGCAGAGGGATGGTCAGGAGCGAGCCGGGGTCAGAGCAGGAGAAGTCAGCAGAGGTCAGATCAGGCAGGGTCAGCGACAAGACAGGAACAGGAACATGAATAGGATGCAGGAACAGGATACAGGGCCCAGGAAAAACACACCAAGGCAGAGTCTGCAGGTCTGAATGTCCCTTAAATACACCAGTATAATTAGTTCCAGGTGTTTGACTGGCTGCAAGCTTGAGTCTCTGATTGCTGGGAGCACCCGCTGGCCAGCCCTGGTACTGCAGCTCATAAGGCAGGTGAGTCCCACACTATTGCTGGCCAGTCCATTCCTGACAGACAGGAATTTACGTAAGCCTTGTAATCCTTCTCCCACTCAGGCCACCAGAACAGGCGCTGTACTAGGTCTAAGGTCTTGTGGACCCCAAAATGATCTGCCAGCGTATGGTCATGACACAGCCCTAAAATTGCCAGTCGGGTAGTTTCTGGTGCAAAGATTCTGTTCCCTGACCATAGTAATTCTTCTCTAGAGGACAGAGTTATTCCTGGAGGGGATGGAGCCCCAAAAGATGCCTGCTGGATCTGCAAAAAAAGGTCTGGTTGTAAGAGACAGAAGTTACCTGTTGAGAACACTGTATCAGGGGTAGGAGGATCCTTTGGGTCATCAAACCCGAAGGATGAGAGATATGTTCTGTTAGTTGATCCTGCTCAGAGATGCTCACACACTGTAGTTAGTAGCAGACATTTTATTAGGTGCTCATAGCCGCCATTAAACATGTGTCTGTTTTTAGAACTACAACCAAAGAGACCAAATAACACAGTTGTACCAGTATCTAAGTAGTGAGACCCCTAGAGGCCATACACTGCATATAACATATTGCTACAACCTTTCTCTTTTAAATAAAAGAACAATGAAATATAACAAACACAAAATGGTGAAGTAGAACATAGCTATAAGTTAGATATAATCCTTGAGGTGAGCCGGCTTTCTGATTGTTCTGCCAGCTCGCGTAACATATGAGGTTTCTTCACAGAAATCTTGATGTTCTTCTGATTCTGGCAGTCTATTTTCTGGGACTGTCTCTCTCTGCCTAGAGACCTCCCTATGCTCCTCAGCAGTCTCTGTTTCTTTGTTGCTGGTATTCATAGTCTCATCGCTTTGAGAGTGTCCATATACTGTTCCCAGGGCCCTGTATCATCTCCTTGTGTTTTTTTTCAGATGTCTCCGATTTCTCCTCCATCTTCTTCCTTCCTCTGTTATAATTTCATAGGACCGTGGTCCCAATTTCTGTACAACCTTTGCTTTTTTCCAGTGTTTGTCATATTTGCATATTGGCTGAATCCATACATTTTCATTGCTCTGGAGAACAGGCAGATCTTTTGCAGATTTATTATAATAGAAAGCTTGCCTATCTTGATTCTTCGTTAGTTTGGCTTTAACATTGCCCACAAGCTTTGGCTTTAGTAGTTGACCTGCAGTTGGTAGGAGAGTCCTTGTACGTCTACTCATAAGCCGCTGTGCTGGACTGGTGTCTAGGCCTTGTGTGGGTGTGTTTCTGTGCTCCAGTATAGACAGGTATATCTCTGTACCTGCCTGTTTTGCCTTTTGCATGAGTCTTTTGGCTGTTTTTACTGCTGACTCCGCTTTACCATTACTCTGTGGATATCCAGGAGATGATGTCTGGTGCTCAAATTCCCCACCTCTCCCTGAATTTTTTGAATTCTTCCGATGTAAATTGAGCAGTGTTGTCAGAGAACACAATATCCGGAATGCCATATCTGGCAAAATGGGCCTTGAGTTTTTTAATTACTGTTTTGGCCCTTGTGTCCTGTAAGTAGTCTATCTCCCAGAAGTTGGAAAAATAGTCCACAGTTACCAGATATTCCTTGTCGTTCCACGTGAACAGATCTGTTCCTACTTTTGACCATGGTCTGTTTGGAATTGTATGTGGTTGCAATGTCTCTTTCGGTTGCTTATCATTGCACGATGCACATATTTCACACTGTGCTATAAAGTTTTTATGTGGTCATTCATTCCAGGCCAATAAACATATTTCTCGTGCACGACGTAGACATCCTTCTACACCTAAGTGAGTCGAGTGCAATCTTTCTATAATGTCTCTTCAAAGGGATTTTGGTATGACAGCCCTTTCTCCTTTAAAGATGATTCCATGCTGCACAGAGAGTTCATCTCTTATGTGAAAAATGGAGAAATGGAGAAATCTCCATTGGAGCATGCTGCTTGTGTTTTGGCCATCCCTTCAAGATGACAGTCTTTAGGATCTGTAGAGTTTTATCTTCCGCTGTGCAGGTCTGTATTTTTTTTCAGTCTGTCTTTTGAGACAGACAGATATTCACACATATTGATGCTTTCAATGTCTTTTTCTTCTTCATTTGTGATGGGTAAGTAAGCTCTGCTTAGGGCATCTGCAATCAGTAAATCCTTCCCTGGACAGTAACAAATGTTAAAATCATATTTCTGAAGCCTTAACAGCATACGCTGCAGTCTTTTTGGGGCATTCAGTAGTGGCTTTTTTAATACTTTCTAAAGGCTTGTGATCTGATTGCACCACCACTTGTCGACCGTAGGTGTACTGGTGAAATTTCTCTAACCCAAATACTACCGCTAGTAGTTCCTTCTCGATTTGAGCATATCCTTGCTCTGTTAGAGTTAACGCTCTGCTTGCATATGTGATTGGCTGTTTATCCTGCATTAGTGTGGCTCCAAGGCCGGTTTCTGAGGCATCACATTGTACTACCACTGCTTGATCTGGATCAAAATATTTTAGCGTTGCTGCGTCTGCAATAGCATTTTTCACTGACTGAAAAGCAGTTTCATGGCTTTCTGTCCTTTCCCAGAGTACGTCTTTGTGAGTTAGCTGTCTCAGTGGCTCACACATGTCTGATAAATGCTTGCAAAATTTGGAAAGATAATTCACCATGCCCAGGAATCGTTGTACTCCACGTATATCTGTAGGTGTCGGCATGTCCTGTATTGCCCTCACCTTCTCTGGATCGACTTTAACACCATTTGAGGTAAGAAGATGTCCAATATATGGTACTTCTGTCATTTTTAGTTTGAATTTTGCCAGGTTCAGTTTGATTTGTTTTTTTCTACATCTGTCTAAGAATTGTATCATCTTTTTATCGTGATCCTTTGTTGCGGATTCTAGATCATCACCTTTCCCAACTATTAGTATATCGTCTGCTATTATTTTTACTCCAGACAGTCCTTCCAAAGCTTGCATCAATTTTTTTGTTGGAACACTTCTGGAGCCGGGCTTAATCCCATTGGCATTCTCAGCCACTTATAGCGTCCAAATGGGGAAGAAAATGCTGTTAATAAACTTGATTCTTTATCCAGTTCCACGTGCCAGAACCCATTTTCACATCACATACTGAAAATATTTTAGCCTTTGATAGATCTGGTAGAATATCTTCTATTGTTGGCATTGGGTAGTGATTTTCTTTTAGGGCCTTATTCAGTGGCTTAGGATCAATGCATATTCTTAACTTGCCTGATGGTTTTTTTACTACCACCAAACTGCTTATCCAGTCTGTGCTTTCCTGTACTG